GTGATCCTTCTGTCTCAGCTGCCCTAGTGCTGGGATTATAGGCATGCACATCCATACCCAGCTCCAGGGCCAGCACAGAGTACAGTGACTTCTGGGCTAACACAGCATGCAGTAACAGGGATCAAACTGGGAACCTTGTGCTTGCCAGGCAGGCGCCTATGCCGTGCGCTATCTCCCCAGCCCCACATTTTTATACATCTGTTCAGAAACTTTTGTGTGAGGTTATGAGTGTTTCTTGTAATGTATTTGTAAGGTTATAGTGTCAGAAATACTAAGATAAATTGGAGACATTCTTACTCTCCTCTCTCAAAGATTTGAGGCAAAATTGGTGTTTTCACTACTGTATCTTTGATAAAATTTGCTAACACTTCAGGATCACAACCTTTTTTCCACATTAGGGAAGGAGAATAAAAACAAAGCATGTTATTACCTATATTATTTGCTTTCACTCTTTGCTGTTGATTTTGGATCAGTTACAATGAAGATATTTGAATGTTCATGTTCTTCTTGTCCATTTCAGTAAATTGTGTTCCTTCAGGATTTTCTCATATATTCAGTATAGTCAAATGTATTGCCCTAAGGTTTTTCATTATATTCATCTTTTTATTATTGGCAGTTCTCCATTGAGTTGTATTGAGCAGGTAGTTATGGTAGTATTCTTGCACTTGCTCATACATAGCAGCCAAGTGTAATGAAGGGTGGTTCTTTGCAAAGCTGAGGTAAACTCTAAGGAAACCAAACAGGTTAGGTGTCTTTTCTCTATTCTTAGGCCTTCACCTGAGTTCTTCTCAATGCCAGTCTTCCTGGCATGATGAGGGCCATTATCAGATAAACACCTATTAGGGAATCATGTGGGTACCCATGCTTTGATTCAGATGCCTCCTGTGGTGGATTGACAACATGTAACACCCAGCTGAACTGAACCAGTGTGGTTCATGACTTTAGAGGTCCACATGAGGATTGCTGCCAGCAGAATGCAAAGCAGAACTGAAGAAAAAGAATAGTTTGGACTTGCTGAATGTCTTGGAGGAGCTTGTCATGTTGGCTTTCCTGAAGAAAAAAATAAGCTCAGGACCTGGTTGTCCCTGAGAATGGCTACGGTTCCACTGTGGGAGATCTGGTCCTCACTTGGAGCATTGCTTCTCAGGTTCAAGAGGGGAAGATGGTGCACTACTCATTCTGCTGGAGAAACTTCTTACATTAGCTTTCCTGATGGGATCTTGGCTGCTCTGTCAGCTAAACTCAGGACCTCTCTATCAACGAAGATGCTTGTGATACTTTTTGGGGAGCTCTAGTTATTACTTTGAGTGTTGCTTCCTGTCTCCAGTTGAGATCCATCAACCTGCTTGTACAGAGCCTTCATCCAGCTAACACAGATTTTCTAGCTTCCACCACTGAGTTTTGGTCCTTCCAAGAGCAGATTGTGAAACAGGCCTGCCAGAGACATTGTCATGGCTTCTAGGACTCCAGTGGGTTTCATGGGGACATTGTTATTGGCTTTAGCTATTCAGCTGGACTCACAGAGAACATGTTATGTGATTAAGGACCATAGTTGGATTCCTTTCATCTTTGGTGTGTGGACAGATTTCCTGCACACTCTTCCTAAATGATTCTTTGGGTAGCTATTATTAAACAATCTTATAATTATCCTGTATTGTATTATTTTCCATGTAAGCCTCTGACTATAACACATGTATTCCATCTTCAAATTTAATTTTTGAGTCAAGAAAAGACCTCATCAACTAGAAATTTTTCTTGCAGGGAAATTGACTTTGAAACTCATGGAAGTGAGATGGACGGGCAGTGAAAGGCTCCCTGGCAAATACAGCACCTGCCTGTATGCTTCCTTAAGGTTGGTAGACACTGAGCCTTGGAATCCCCACTCATGCACACGCTGGAATGGTAGGCAGCTTGAGCACCAAGTCAGTTTCCAGCTTCTACTGTAGTTAGAGGAATTTATTGCAGTACAGTTGGTGTCACACCCTGATGTTCGATCTCCAGTAAGCTATGCATAATATTGCTTAGGTAGAATCTGTATCTTGTCAAGCTGTGCCAGGGTCTTGGGAAAAGATCAGGCTCATCCACCTAGCAAGGCACCAGGTGTTCTCTTTTGAGGATCAACTCATCTTCCTTGTCTCTCTGCAATTAATCACAAGAATTTCTCAGCCACTTCATTTGGGGGACTTGAGCTCACTGCAGCACATCTTGGACTGTGGGCTGGGAGAGCAGGAGAAATCCTTCAGTAGGAAGATTACTGTTCTTTGAAAATGGGCATGGATAAGGCCACCCTTCCAAGGGAGGACTCTACTTTCAAGGGTCTCACTACGGGTGGCATGTCTTCTCCAGTATGAGATTCTTACTCCTTGATGGACTGAACTGAAAGGAAAGGCAACAGTCCTTCTATGAGATGAGTTTTCTCTTCTTTCACTAAACTGACCACAGGTAAAGGAGCTATGCCCTCATCAGCTACCAACACCTTGGGGGTAATGTGGATTGACTTGCTATGATGGACTACCTCCGGGCCCATGACTGAGGAAGCTTCCATGTCAATGGCACCATCAGCATGGGCTAAAATACCAGGATTGATACACTGAAAAACCTGATGGGCCTCCAGACACAGGTTAAGAGCAGTGGCCTTCAACCTCTGCCATTCATGCAATGGGACTTAGTTTTGATGGTCATATTCCAGGGAACCCAGCATTGATCTGTTTCTGCTACATAAACACCTGGTGCAAAGCCCTCCAGCAGGGATTGTTGGGCACCAGAAGCATGAAAATTAACAGATTGGAGAATGCCAAGAAAACCTGGAAAAGTTGGAGATAGTTCACTCTGGTGACCAGAACTTCAGCAGCAAAGTCATACAGAGGGACAAGAATCCTCTCCTAGCAGCAGGAATTTATAGTACAAAATTTGAACCAGGCCTGCTAGATGGTATACTGTGTGAAACATAGAGAGGAAAATATACTTGGAGCTTCCCAACTTCTGCATACATTTCAACATCCTGAGAACAGGAATATTGGATGAGCGTGAAATGTGAGCACTGAGAGAAGCTTGGGTGGACTCAAGCTTGCTGGGCCCTGCTCTCATGCTGATGCCTGAGGTACTCTGATAATCATGCACTTTTGTGGCTTGAGCTCTCTGTGTATTGAGCACTCAAATTCTATGTATTCTATCTGTTGTTCTGCATTTTCGTGTGCCTTATCATTTTTGGAGGCAAAGTTTGTGTTCTGACCTTACTTCCTTTTTAATTAATGAGCACTAACAGTTCTGAAACTGCTTAGTCAACTGGTACTTTTTTATTACAATATATAACAAAAAAAGGAATGAGGAAAGAAAGGAGGCCCTAAAACCTTCAGAATAAAGGCCCCATTAAACAGACACATAAATGAGCATGAGAGAGTGAAATCGCCAACTGTTTAGTATGAGGCCTCCACCACAAAGCCTTATGTATTGTACTCTGGACAGGCCTGTGATGAGTAGGGCAAGCTACTGATCAACTGTCATCAATAGAGGCATCAAATATTGCCATTTCTTTGCAGGAAAATATTTCTAACATTTGATTCTTCTGCATAAAATTGACAGTAGTAATTAACATTTTAATAAAGAATATAAAAATCTGTAAGTCCATATTGAAAAACAAAAATGGTTTAATTATTTATGGTAATATTATCTTTGTATTGAAATTAAACTCAAGGAGACAGTGTTTTTTCTACCGGAATACCAGAAAGCCAGTAAATATGCAACACTGAATTACAGGATGTCCAGGATATGTCTAGGTATAACAATATTACACAGGTAAGGATGACACAGCTGGAAATATTTTTGAAGAAAACACACTGGAAAATAAGGTGCTTACACATTCTCATGCAAGTGCCTAGAAGCTGCTTCACAGTTATCAAGGGCACAGTGTGTGTACCCCAGGACAGCTCCAGTAGATGCCTCCTCAACCAGGCGAGCAGAGCCAATGGGAAGGAATGAGCGATGGACAAAGAGGACGCTGCCTGCAGGCAGAAAGCAGCAAGCAGAACCTGGAATTAACTACACCTGTCAACTGCTGTTGCTCCTGGCTATATGTTTAGGTTGAATTTAATCCCGAGAAAAGTGTCACTAGCAACTAAATGTAGGCCAGGTGCCAGGAAATCGCTGACCTGTTCTCTATACACAAGTCATTTTCATGAACAAATGGGATGACAATAAAGAGAGAGATTTGTGTTACAGTAGCACTAACATACCATTCTCCCCCCCCCCAAATAAGAATAGAACAGAAAACAATCAGTCATGGAAACTACAGATTACAACTGCCACCCCAATAAGCTTATCCCTGTCTTCAAGAGCAGCCATGGACTAAGAGAACAGCGAGGGCTAGCAAGGCAGGAACACGGTGATGGGCTGGCATTTGCAATCTCTACTTTTCAAGACTGATTCTTTTCTGGCTAGGTCTCATTTTGGGGGAAAGGAGTATACAGTGGTACCTTCATTCATAAACTTAATTCTTTCCATGATTATGGCTACAAACTGAATTGGACAAGAACGAAATCAAGTTCAATGGTTAGGATCCACTTTGTTCTTATCAGGAAACTGGATTTGGTTCTTGTTCAGTTCAACTGGTGACCACAATCTGGGAAAAAAATTGAGTTCATGAACCCAGGTACCACTGTACATACATGCGCTATTAATATTTTTCAAAACCAAATGTGTCCTCTTCACTTTGTCATGTTTTTTTTTGTGGTGACACTGACTAAAACTGACAGAAAACTGACAGAAAACTGTTAGCTCTCCTGGCCATAGGTCTGCACTGTGCATCTGTCTCATGATGTCCTTGTGTCACACTCGGGCTGAGCACATCAGGAAAACACTGCAGTGCTGTTACTGCCCCTCGCAGGGCAGCACAGTGGGAGGCAGTGCCCACACAGTCCCGCTATCATCATGCAGCTGCCACTGCCTTTGGTCTTCTCATGGATGGAATTAAGAGGACTAGAAAAAGGTCTCTCTGCTGGCTCTACAGATGTAGGTCTTAGTCTTCATAAGTATTTCACAAAATTGGAGGCAAAGAGGTGGAATTTTTCCAATACAACTGGGCTGTTGGAGTGAAAACTGTCAAGAGCTCTTGGTGGTTTTCAAATTCAGTAATCACATGAATCACTCCAGTGTTCTCTGTGGACTTTAAATTGGGTTATTATGAAATCAAAAAACTTCACTTAATGTCTTAGTTCTCTTCATCAGCAAAGTCTGTTCTTCTTTCCAACAATACTTAGCACCTGGAGAGGCAGAGAGAAATTAAGCAAAAGTCTTGGTCAGGTCTGTATCATAGGTGGACTAAAAGATATTCTTTTACGTTGAGGATGACCGTTGGGCTGAGCTTCTCTCTGAGCATTACCAAGAATATGAAGCTAGCAACAGTGCCAACAGACACAGTTCAGAATCCTACCAGCCCACAAAGCAAACAGTCCTGACAGGGTGACAGCCCACAAGAAACAACAGTGCTGCAGATCAAAAGATCTATTAAGGGATTTTTTTTTTTTTTGTGGTACAGGGGATTGAACTTAGGACCCTGTGCTTGCCAGGCAAGAACTTATCCTACAGAGCTATCTCCATGGCCCTTATTAAGGGAATGAATTATTGAATATAAATATAAATAAAAATTATGGAATGAATTATGAAGAGAAACAACAGTGGCTGAATGAGCTCCAATCCTAGTGAGAGTGTTAAGATAGTAAATGTGTCCAAAGCCACCAAGATGGCTACCTGTGTGACTTAAGTGTGAAGTCCTGGGAATCTGCAAGCTATTTTCCACTTTCTCCTGGCAGTCTTCTGTTTCCTGACACTATTTCTCTGAACATCAGAGAGGTGCTAGGTAGGAAACCCAAGAGTCCTGGCAGCTGAGCCAAGGGCATAACCTGCCCGCTTGGGAGGATGCCTCATTCCAAGCCAGGCATCCAAGTTCAGCTCTGAAAAGAAACCATAGCCAACAGGATCCATCACTATCTATTACCTTACATTTGTGTACTCTTCTACCCAAAGTATTATTTGGACAAGAAAATGCAAGGGGTGAGAGGACCTCCAGAGACTGAGTCTCAGTTAATTTTAATCTCAGAAATACAAGAAAGGTAACCAAGACACAGCGTCTCTAGATTTCCTCTCACCTCTTGGATTTTTTCTCATTGCTGAGACAATACCTGACACCCAGAGTTAAAAGAGCAGAGATTTAGCTAGTTGGCAGTTTCAGTGGCTAAGTAGTTGGCTCAAGGCCAGGGTGGTCAGGTCCACAGGCATTGCAGAAGTGAAAGAATTCATGGGAGCCCAAGGTAGGAAAGCAACATGGGACAACCACCGCTCTTTCTATCCCTTCCATCTCATCCAGAGTACTTAGGACATGGAGCACACACACTCTTAATCCTAGTGCCCTTGATCCTAGCACTGCACTAAGAATCAATCCCAGCATCACACTCTGAATCCAGCCAGCTCTGTAAAGCCTGCTTACGACTGCATTAGCCTTTGGGGACACCTAGACAGGAGACATAAGACTCTCATATATTTTTTATATTAATATTTATCACATATACTGTAAAGATAAATCTTTTAGGGGGAAGCACTACCAGTTTACAAAACTATGATTGATAAAAACAAATTCATAGCAGGTATATTACATAATGGTACACTTAACACACAAAAACAGTGTGACCTTATCACTGGATAATTCTGCAGGAATGAGGCTTCCACAAAGAAGAGTAGCTTCTGTGCAATCTGCACGGGCATTGCCCTTCATTTACAATAGATGACAATAAGCAGAAAAATAAGCTTCATATGACAGGACACAGTGTTGTGGGCCTGCAATTCATACTGATACTGTAAACTGTCTCTAATCAGGTTTAAATGTCTCTATAAAGTCACCTTGTGAAACTCATCATTGTCTGCCAAGGATTAGACTATGCATATTCTAAGCTACTATGATGGAGAAGTTCTTATTAAATCAGATACTATTGAAACTTTATGAATTAATGATACCACAAAATAGTCACTATAGTTCCTATATGTCTAAATAGCAGGCCAGAGAATAAGAAGAACTGATACACATTAATTTTTATGTGTCTCAGACAGCCTGGGAAGGTAGTTCAGTGGCACAAGTGCTTTCCTGGAAAGCACAAGGTCCTGAGTTTGATCCCCAGTTCTTTATGTTTCAGAGAAAAAAAAATAGACAGAAATATCTAAGAACACAAATGATATAACCAGATTGCCTAGGCTCTGAACACAAAGGATACATCTGGTCCTGACACCAAAATTCTGGAGCTAGAGTCTGATAGTTCATGCTGTCCCAATGGACACATGCAAAAACATACTGTTTCCTGTAGCAACAAATAACTGGCAATAAACGTAGAGAAGGGCGACTGCCATACCACTTTCCTTCCTTATCCTGAAAGGGCTGGTACTGGTCACCACAGTCTGTGCACACTTCAAAGCTCCAAGTGGTGGAAGAAAGGCTCTGCCTGGCTTTGCAGTCTCCATACTCAAAGCACTGACCCAGGGGTATTCCCAGATGAGGGATCCCCTGGATGCATGGTTCCAACTGTGACTGGGAAGCTTGCAGCTCTGAGAAGCGGGAGCTGAATTCTCCAATCCACAGCCCTTGGGCACAGGTTTCCTTGGTGTAAGCTGAAAAGAGAAGAGCATTCAGTAGAAAAATCAGAGCACTCCCTGTGTAGCATCACTGAGAACAACCACTGCTAATATCTCTGCATTTTAGTGAAATCACATAGTGATCCAGGCACTGACAGGGACATCATGTATACAAAGATGATGTCATCATCCCTAGGGATGAGCAGATAGACGTGGCCACAGGGATGTCCCCAAGAGAATAGTCACCCAGCTGAGCAACACAGTTTTCATTTGACTGATAAATTCATGTCCATAGCTCTACTATTACAAACTCTAGTTCTTCATTCTAGAAAGAAGGTTGTATAAAAGATGAAGATGATGGAAGAGAAAGAATTGTGGATCTCTATTTGCAGAAAAGAACCTAGAAAACTACAGGATTTCACAGCTTGGGGTACGATTAAAAGGGAGGCAAGTAACTGTGGAACATGATTCAAGTCATGGAGAAATTTTAGGGCTTTTGTACATTGTGAACTGGTTGTTGTCTTATTTTTGGCCTCCTATCTATGCATATGTATAGTACACTGCAATGAAGAAGCTGTATTGGTATAAGCATGGTAGTAAAGTTGCCAGCACCTTAGGTATGTGGTGTACAATATGAATTTAGGGTTTTGGTCTTTTTTTTTTTTCGGTACTGGGGATTGAACTTAGGACCTGGCACTTGCCAGGCAAGCACCTATTCTACTGAGCTACCTCCCTAGCCCATGAATTCAGGGTTTCTCAGCAGAGTACTGAAATAGGAAGCTTTTGTATTACAGTCCTCACAATGGAGTATAGACAGGTCCCAAAGGTGAAAATTAGTTATATTCTTACAGAGAAATAAAAGATAATTTCTACTATCTATTCAATAGACAATCTCAGTAACTAAGGGCTTCCAAGAACTTCACACCAGTCCAGATCAGACTCAGAGGTGCCAGAGCCAGCAAGGCCTCCTGTGCATTGCTGTGAAGTGCTCTGTCTCTTCCATCTGCACAACCTTATTCCCAGTAATGTCTGTTTCTTTTCTTGAACACTGTCTATTTGGCTTTTTCTCAGCTTTATCTGTCTTCCTACAGACAATAGCAGACTCTTCTCACTGGGTCTGAATTCCCACTCTGCCCAGCAGCTCATCTGCTTCCGCAATCTCCACACCATTAACTGTCTCAAGTGAGTTTTTCTTTTCATTTCTTTCTTTCTTTTGGTTGTGGACTCACTGTGTGCCCTTCTGTGATGGTCTCAAAAAAAAGGCTCCACCAAACCTTAGACCTGAGTTGCCAGATTACCTCTGGCTCTAAGGTGCAATCGTCCCCAGGCCTACCACTCTTCTTATTCCAAGTTATCTTTTTATTGTGACCACACAAGTACTTGGGAAAGCTTGTATTGGACACGCAAGAATTAATTCCTTACCACACCTTTCTGCTCCTTATTTCTGGTCCCATGCAGTTGTCTGACAGCACTGCCCACCAATCCCTTAGAGCAAATGTTTTAAGAAGGCCCCTCCCTGAACCCAGCCAAGCTTCCAGTGCCTACCTTCATCCACTTCCTGTCTACAGGGATACTGTCAGTCTGGTGTATCCTTCATGCTTCCTCGTAACAAAGTTTCTACATCATTTGTATGGACTCTCAGCATGATTTATGAGAGATCCTAGTGTGTTGAAGGATGATACATCTGCAACCAATACAGCTGTTGATTAAAATGACTGTCACCAACAGAAAAAATGATCTCAGATGTGGAAAGACCTCACTGATGCAGAAATCTATCCAAGGTCTTCTGGTGCCTCCTGTACTTTCTTCTCAAATGTCTGACAGTTGAGTTCACTCTCAACCTGACATACACAGAGCTCTGCGGTCAGAATACACAGGAACACAACCATGCCCAGACAACTTAGAACTTTCCTACAGTGTCTTATTTATCACCATGATGTAACTAAATTCAACTGCCCTCTCCCATAACCCACTCAAAGATGTGAAGCTGGATGCCTTTGCTCTATGCCCATCAGCTGCCAATTTTAACAAGGTTTCCTTATTCAACTGTGTCCACACTTAAACTCCTCCCTCATCTGCTTCCTAGGAACAAAAGCCTGCAGATGCAAACAAGTCCCAGGGAGCCTTGTTCTCAGGTGTGGACATTCCATTTCACCTACTGCACAATCACACTGGAAAAGCTCTTTAAGAAGCTGGGTCCTTCTTTTTAAAATGTGAACACCTCTATCTGTTATAGATACCACCCTGATGACTTTTTGTAGAGATGGAACCAAAGTCAGAGAAATTTGTCCAAGTGCTGCACAACGAAAGTGTGCGTGTGCGCATGCACATACACACACAGTTTCACTATGTATCCCAGACCAATCTCAAACTCCAAGCTCTTGTCCTACATCAGGCTCCTGAATAGTGAGATCAAAGGCATGTGTGACCACATTAGGCCCACGATGGATAGCACCATAACCTGCCTGGTGGAAGACAGAAAGTTAGGGCAATTCATTTGGAAGGAAAGAAGTGTCTGAGGAGGCAGACAATGTAAAGTAGAAATCAGAAAATGAAACAGACCTCAAAAATAATTGTGTCAATAGGCAAGCCAGCCTATTGTCCATCAAAGACTGGAGGAAACAGAGGTAAAGTAAACTCCCAAGAACATTACAGAACAGAAGAAATGGGCACCCTGTACACTGGGCTCTGAAGCAGCCCTGGGCAGCAGCAGGGCTGGCAATGAGAGCTCAGGCTCCTGCTTTCCTCACTCACCACCCTGCAAATCTGCACAGTGCTCAACAAGATCAGGATATCCAGTCATGCAGAAGTACAGATGACCTGCAGACAGGCCTGACTCTGCACAAGTTCTGAACCAAAACAGGCCTCCTGGACCACCTGCGGACACCTCTCTCATGTGAGATGGAGAAGCTGAGCACAGAGAGCCCTTCATAGAGGACCTATTATCTGTAGGGTAATGTAAGTACTCACTGGACCCAACCACAGTAGAGTGGCCTTCAGGCTTCTGTGATGGGAAGGCCGCACTGCTTACACATTCCTGTGGCTCGGCCTCAGCAGGATGACAGGAAAGGAGCAAATAGTTTTCATCTAGTGAATCTGGCCCAAGTTCATTTTCTTACTCTGCACACAGATGGAAGAGATAAAGCAGAACAATGATAATTGGGATGGACCATAATCCACAGCTTCCCACACGGTTGTCATCAAAGCTTTGGGCCAATTCCTGGAGCATTCACAGGAGTCCGAGGGAAACTCTGCACCCCTGCATTGCACATTGCTTGTTTGCCCTGAGGATGAGACAGACAGAGAGACCCACTGACTGACTGACAGACACAAACAGAGAAAGACCAACCACTTCTCTGTGAACTGGGTAGACTGTAATGTGATGAGGAAGAACACTAAGCTATGCCTGGAAGGTAGAGCAATG